CTATTAAGTCTAATTATCACCTTGTACTTTTTTTGTTGGCTTGCTTTCTTATTTTGATTCAGGGTTTCACTCTACAGAGTGGCCTAGAACAGAGCTCAGACTGGCCTAGAACTCGGTATCTTTCTGCCTCAGGCTCTAGAGTGCTAGGATCACAAATATTAACTAAAGTCCCAGCATCTATATACTTTATTTCTTTTTAAGTATTCATACCTGTGCATATGTGGTGTGTCTGTGTTTTTTTTTAAGTTCAACTTTACTAAGTATTCTTGAATTGATGGGAAATTAATTAAGATATTATATTAATTCACTTGGTTAGAGAAGTCAAGAAGTATGAGAAGAGATGATAGAATGTGAGTAAATGTTAAACCTACAATGCCATGACTAATTTGCCTATTTTGTACCTACATGGAGTATAAAGGCTGCAAACTATTGAGTTTGAGGTGGAAAATTTGTTAATGTTTTCTGAATACCAATTTTCATACCTCTATAAGAGATATACCACCTTTCAGGATTTATGAAGGGTTTAAATAAAATGTATGTAAAATGCCTGGCACAGGGTTAAGCAATAAATTATAATCATTGGTATTGATTGGGTGTTTTACAATAATCCAAGGGCAGGCAGTAGGTTATACTCTTATTAATAGCATGATTCCATCCATATAATCATTATGGATTTCTTCCAATCTTTAAGTCAGCTTTCAGGAATTTCCAGTAATATGAATTAGGGTTTTTAAAATTTGCATAAATTATAGCTGTCCTCTTTGCTTGCCCTACCTCCTGCTGACTCTGAGAATCAGCTTTAAAATAGGAAAGTTATACTCATTTTTCTTAATGCTGCTACAGCACTGGCTAAAAATAATTCCAATATGCCCTTAATAATTAAGGCTGCTGGCACTGGGGGCTCACGCCTGTAATCCTAGCTACTCAGGAGGCTGGGATCTGAGGATCATGGTTCAAAGCCAGCCTGGGCAGGAAAGTCCATGAGACTCTTCTCCAGTAAATCACCAGAAAAGCCGAAGTGGTGCTGTGGCTCAAGTGGTAGAGTGCTCGCTTTAAGCTGAAGAGCTCAGGGACAGCGCCCAGGCCCAGAGTTCAAGCCCCATAACTGACAAAAAAAAAAAAAAAAAAAAATTAAGGCTGCATGCAGACCTTGTTGTTGAAAACTAATTCATAAACTAATATGAATAGCTATTAACATGCAAAGCATTTTCCCTCTAATTTCTCTGCTTCTTGCTCCCTTCTTCCTGTATGATTTTAAAGTCAAACCTTAAACTTTAATTGATTTTAAGTGATTTCAAATACTTTTAAAGAAAAACTCATGTGAATGAAATAGCTGAGGAGATAAACCTTACTAGGTTTTCATGCATATAACTTACCCAATCTTGATTTATACAAAGGTAAACAAAGGAATATTTATTCAAGTTGTACGTTGTTAATTTTTAATAAGTGGTTATACTTTTATAAATTTTGTGTTTATACCTTGTTCACCAAATCAGAGCAGTGACTTTATATTATCACTCTGTGTACCTTCTAGCACTGACCACAGTGCTGTAAAATTGCTGGTGCTGTGAATTAAGTGTTTGCAATATGGTCATTTTCAGAAATATTTTACTTATGAATTTAATACTTGTGTTGTATCCACTAGGCATTTGCTCCTGTGCTGGCTAAATTATTTACCATTTGTAATTATAAAAGCAAGACCCCTTTCTCCTTTGAATATTTTTTTCTGTTATTTGAGTAATATCCATGCAACTAACTCCATACTCAACAAGAAGTTATCCAGGTCCCTGACCAATTCATTTATTTGTTGGTGTTATTATCTCTAGTTTTACCAATGTGCAAGTGTCACTTAAGCAAGATCATTCCTTTTGTATGTACATTCCAAGGCTGAACATGGTTCTCATGTCTACAAACAACAGTTGCTTCTACTGGCAAATGAAACTTCTAGCAGGAAGTTATTTTTACAAGGCCAAGTTTATAGAAAACAATTTGTGCAGATGTTAATCTCATCTATCTACCTACCTATCTGCCATCTGTGTGTCCATCTAACTGCCTACCACCTTTGATCCATCTGCCTTGTCTATCCACCTGCTATATTTACAACATACACTGTGCTAGACTAAAGGGACTTAAAAGTGAGCAGAAATGAAGTTGGCATGTGTTATGTCATAGTAAGTAATATGAGCTCACAGAGGAGAACATTCTAGGGTGGAATGATCCAATCCATTCACTAAGTCTGAAGAATAATCTGATAAAATGGAAAGACAAAGGAAAAATGAATTGAAAGACCCACTTTTCACTTTCACAACTAACTGTTGGAACTGTGTAACTTGAGCTATCTGAACTTCATTCTGTTATCTAGAAATTGGGAACAAATGATCATGAAAATATTTTTTCTATTTCTCAGATGTTCTAAAAACACTAAACTGTCAACTTAAACTATCAACTATTGCTTTATTTATTAGCCACCACAGTGCTTAGTATTTCTGCTCCAAATTTACTGATTCAAGAAATGTTACAAATTCAGTTCAAAGAGCAGAGCAATTCTGGTTACTTGGTATATTTATACATTGGTTAATAGGAAAATACAGAAAGCAAATGACAGGACTGTGACACAAATCTCACTTTTCTTTTGGAAGATAATCCATATTATATCCATAATTTAGAAGCCAGTTGTAATTGTTAGAAAAACAGAAGGTTAAATAGCTGCAACTTAGTGACTCATGACTATGTGCTAGCAGTTGTGCTAAGAACTCTTTGTACGTTATATGACTTACAGCTGTCCTAAGAACTAACCATTATATGCCTATTGTACAGAGGGGAGAAATCTGGGTCAGAGTGATTGTTATTAACAAGGTCACATTTAAAGCAAGTAAAAGGACAATTTGTGATCTCAAATTGTGATTATTTTTAAGCTTGTATCCTTACTAATTTTAATTATTTTGGCATGTCACACCAAAGTTTTGGTAAGCTTACAGCCAAATGAAGTGGTTTGATGTGTCTATTAAATATGAAGAACAAAGTCTTTAAATCAGTTCACAGAAGACTTGTGTGCATGCGTGAGATTTTGAACTTGATTCTGTGGTAATTAGGAGCCACTGATAGTTATGAGTACAGAAAGGGAATCATTGTCTGCCTGGCATAGAATCGGTGCTCAGTACATCTTCAATGACTAAATGAATGAATAGATTTGGCATTTAGAAAGACTGACCCTGTAAATGAAGTGTAGGTTTGGAGGAATAAAAACTGGGAAGTAGGAAAATTAATGTAAATCTGGTACATGACAGCAGAGCCTGAGCCAGTGGCATATGAGAGCTGGCCAGTACTGACCTGGAGAGCCAGTTTTGCTCATTTCTTCCCAACTTAAGATTCATTGACTTCAAGCTGGTAACCTCAAGTAAATCTTAATGACAATATCTACATTATAGAACTTGTCAAACACTACACATAGGACTTTCTTTGGGGGGGAGATTGTTTACCAACACATTCCTGGCCTGACCCAAATGCTAAAGCAGTGGGGCTGGAGAGAAGGGAATGTATGTATACTAGGTTGACAGACCCAGCAATATTCATCAGTTGGTTAGTAGGAATAGAGGGATTCTAAAGTGATTTATCAAGTCATTGGCTCCTTGATTGAAGCAGGAAGGCAGCACTTGAAAAAAAAATACCAAAAGGGATTCTTAAAATATCCAAAATTCAATTTTTATGTATTTATTTAGTGCTGGTCCTGGGGCTTGAACTCAGAGACTTGGTGCTGAGCTTTTTTTTTTTTTCCCTCTCTCCAAGGCTAGTGTTCTACCACTTAAACCACTAGACTTTGTGGGAAATTGTGCATTTTTTATTTCATTATGTTTGGGTCTTAAAAAACAAAACCAAAAAACTTGTTGCTTCTTTGAATAGGAAGTTTAAGTAGCTGACCCAAAGGACTTCATTTGTCCAGAGATCAAAGAAAACAGAAGTGAGCATTGTTTACCACTTAAAAGAAGAAGTAGGCTTAGTTCTTCCCAACTCCTTAGGGCTGACGTTTGAAGGCTACGGAAAGGAAGTAGATTCTTAGTCCAATAGTACACTAGCCATTTTGTTTTTTAAGAATTACTGGTACCCAACAGAAGAGAATTATCTTTCCCTGGAGAATTATCTTTAAAATAAACTGGCATCTAACAGCCTTGAGGGCTCTTAGATAACTTTGGATCTTCTGAAGCTTTTTCGCGTGATGGCCTGCTCAGAAAATGGTGTTTGCATGACAGAAGTCATAAACTACAACACATCACCCGATCACGAGGCATCCTTGTCACCTTCTCTGCGGCTTGGCTGGGAAAACTCGGCTGGTCCATCTTTATTTGGGGGGAGGGGGTTGGGGGGGAGAAATGCATCTTAGAGAGAGGATAAGACCTTCCCTGCACAAGAGGTAAAGACACCAAAGGTCCATGCTGGGTTAAGACAACCTTCCTGCTGGGACTAGAACTTGACTCTGCAGGCAACTCATTAGCCAAAGTCTCTGCTCCAACTGAAGCAGGGCCGGAGATCCAGCCTGCAGACCTGCAGGAGATGGACAGGATAGTCCAAAGGGACAGTGCTACCGCGTGCCCAGACCACTGACATTAGAGGCTCACAGTGATCGCCATCGCCGGGGCGCTCGGGGCCTGGGACGGGCTGCAAGGCTGTCCTGTGCCCGCTGAATGACCGCTTTGTGACGTGCGTCCCAGGGGCGGTCCCGCACAGACGCTGTTAAGGCCCCACCCGGCTCCGGAGGAGGCAGAAGGCGTGGTCCACCCGCCGGCAGGCTCAGCCCCAGCCCATCTTTAGAAAGCGGGCGGCCTGGGGCAGAGGCGGCTCCGCAGCGCCCCCTGGAGGCCAGCACCCTCCCTTCACCTCCGCGCTGCTTCGCCCCGCCACATCCCCCTTCCAGCTCCGCCCACTGGGGGAACGCACTCCTGCGCCGGCGCCCAGTCAGTTTCGTCCGGTTCCGCCCTCCCCTGTCTCCAGACCGGATGTTAGCTGAGCTCCCATAGTGCCTCGCGAGTGGCGGGCATGATAACAAACCCTGGGCGTCCGCACGCGTGTTCGGGTCGCCCCAGCGGGGGCTCCGCGGTGGTGAGGGGGCGGTTCTGCGGGGTCGGGTGCCGGCTGCTGTCTGGTCCGCCGGCGCCATGTCGCTCCTCCGGGGCGTGTGGGGCGCGCTGAGGGTGCTGGGAAGATCCGGAGCGGAGCTGTGCACTGGCTGTGGGAGTCGCCTGTGTTCACCTTTCAGGTAGGACCTGCGGCCGGCCGGGCGGGGGCCTGCAGCCGCGGCCCTGCACGCTCGGCCCGCCCCGAGCCCGAGCCCCGAGCCCTCCGACCCCGCGGTCAGACCTCGGCCTTGTGAGCCCCGGGCCTCCGTCCTTCCTGGACGCCCCGTACCTGGCCTCCGGGTCTCCGATCACCCTCCTCCCGCCCCCTCCATCCAGAGCGAGGTTCACCCATTTCCCGCCATCCACTAAGCTCCAGGGAGGGGTAGGGGTAGGGCAGGTGCCCGGAGCTGGGATACAGCTGCTTCCCTCCACTCTGCTCCGTCTTTGTTGAGCATGCAAGGACATTGGGACGTTCAGCTCCAGAAAGCTCTTTTCCCTGAAAACAAAACCCAAAAGTGTTTAGGGGAGAGGGGTGTAGCTCCAGGGGAAAAAAAAAGCCCCTGTCCAGCCTTCGCTTGCCCCGGATTGGATTCCATCCACCGAATGTTTGGTGAAAGTGTTTGACATCTTGGTGACCGATAATTATTTGGAAATCTCGGTTCGTGGGTATATGAATCTCGACAGGTTAAAGACCAGACACTGATTGTATTCTTTTTTATTTCCTGTGTAGTTTTGTGTATTTTCCAAAATGGTTTTCATCCACCTTGAGTAGTTATCCAAAAAAACCTATGACTTCCTACCTTCGATTTTCTAAAGAACAGCTACCAGTATTTAGAGCTCAGAACCCAGGTAAGGAGTTGGGGCAGGGGCGGGGGGGGGGGGGGGGGGGCGAGGTGTATGTGGGGTGTGGCTTGTATTCCTTCTCTGATGTAATAAAAAAGGCTACTAAGGAGTTGAATTACAAATTTTATCCTACCATAGTATTTAGAGGCTGCTGGAACAATAACTTCTCTTCATAGTCTAGCATTTTATATCAAATAGAAATGCTTTAAGTATACAATAAGAACTGCTAAAAAGTATTTTTCAGTGTGGAAAGCACCCTGGGAAGAAGATATTTAAAATAAGCCTACTTGCCTTTGGCTTAAAGAGTCCACCGACAAATGATTTTATCTCTTGTTTAGGTGCCGTTTTTCTACATGAGGGTATTGTTCATAAAACTACAGGAAAATAATAAGTTCTGTAAACCGTTCAAGTTACTGCCAACTTCAAGAATATTTTCACTAAAAATTATTCCTTAGTTTCTGAAAAAGATTCAAGTTGGCTGTTCACTATCTACAATGGTGGCAGGGCCTTTAATTTTAGGTTATATTGTGAAAGTAATAGTTGTTATTATAGCTAACCTTTGCCCAGGATTTCTAAAACCTTTTTACCTACACTACTGGGAATATCAACTGATCTACAAGAAAAATACATTATAAAATGAGTTTGTTTTTAGAGATAAACTTACATACCCGTCTGCTTGTTTTTAGTCTTAAGAGTTGAGACAATTGGTGGTTGTTAAGAAAAGGAAGGAAGTGAAAAAAATGGTTAGTTTTAGAATAGTTGCCAGGCATGGCTGTGCACATCTGTAATCCTAGTTACTAGTGAAGCAGAAATCAGTAGGATTAGGGTCCAAGTAGGTTGGGCAAAAGATGCCAGACCCTGTCAGAAAAATGAAAAGGACTGAGGCTTAGCTTGAGTGTTGAGTGCCTTTCTAGCAAGTGCTAGGCCCTCATTCAGTTCAGACTGCAGCACACTCCCCTCCTGAAAAACATTTTTGTTATTGGATGCAAGGCAGTGTTATATGAATACAGACTATATTCTGCAGTTTTGCCAGGTTTTCTGAGCTTAATTCCGGAAAGATATGAAACATGCTTCAATGAAATTTGAAAGTAAAAATCTTAAAGCAGTGCATTTTGCAGTTAATTTCTGAGGACTGATTATAGTGGTCTATGTTGTACTCTTCAGTCATTAAAGCTCTTCGTGAGTGTGTGTGAATGGGGTGTGCACACATGCACGAGTGTGCATGTGCTGAAATTGAGGCGTGAACTCAGGGTCTGGGCGCTGTCCTTGAACTATAGCACCATTTTCAACTTTTTTGGAAGTGAATTGGAGATAAAGCTCAGATTTTTCCAACCTGGCCTGACTTCAAACTGAAATCCTCAGATCTCAGCCTCCTGAGGCGATTACAAGTATTGACTGGTGGCTCATGCTTGTAATTAAAGCTTTTAACATTGTTCAGTAAAGGTTATAATTATTTACTGTGTTAAACTCTTAGAGAAGAAAAAATTAAGCCCTTATGTTAAATGTGTCTAGAGGTGTTAGAGATGTCTAGAATTTACTTACCTTGAGAACTAATAAGATTTTGTGCAGTCGTCCTGATTTTAGAAATTAATCCTGAGACAAAATTGTGACACTCCTTTCATCTTACTTTAATTCATAGATGTGAAAAATAAAGAACTAATTAGACAAATTGCAGAGGTATGGAGAGGACTTCCTGAGTCAAAGAAAAAGGTAAGTATATAAATATTCAGCATTACTGACCAGTTAGGAACCCTTGTTGTGTCCTTTTTTTTTTAAGTACTGGGGCTTGAATTCTGGGCCTGGTCTGTCCTAGATAGAGCTTTTGTGTGCTCAAGGCTGCACTCTACCACTTGAGCCACAACTCCATGTTCAGCTTTTTGTTCTTAATTGTAGATAAGAGTTTCACAGACTTTTCCTGCCCTGGCTGGCTTTGAACCTGTCTCCTCAGATCTCAGCCTCCTGAGTCGTTAGAATCACAGGGATTAGTCAATGGCACCCAGCCACCTATCCTTTTTTTAACATCTATTGTCCACAAGGGAACTTCATACATTCTGGTTCAAATAGATGATGAGAAATGTGTGTGTGTGTGTGTGTGTATACATACATACATATATATATATATATAAATATAAATGGGGTGAGGAAGGTGAATGGTTAGTGGCAGTTTGAAGATGGAGGCTAATTTCTATTATGTCACCTTGATTAATAATAAGTATGTGAAAAATGTATCTCATATCTGAGTGCCTTTTTCATTTGGTGGTTCATTCTTTATCTGAGTTCATACACTTGTCTTTCCTTGGCAGGGAATGTTATGTTGAATTTTTGTAACAATAGTTAGTGACTTGTCATTTGGGTTTTTTATTTATAGATATATGAAGATGCTTATAAGGCAGACTGGAAAATATACAAAGAAGAAATAAACAGAATTCAAGAACAGCTTACTCCAAGTCAGTTGCTGTCTTTGGAAAAAGAAATCATACAAAGACGTTTGAAAAGGAAAGCATTAATAAAAAAGAGAGTGAGTATCATTGAAACACTCCTATGAAAAAAAATCAAATTCTTGTAACTAAGGAATGTAATTGAAATGCTAATGTATAGATAAGATATAGAATGTTCCAGACATTCTTGAGTTAGGCAGAAATCTGATGCTCATTTTTTCTTACTACAACGGCTTGTCATTGTGTTTATCTTGGAAATCCTTTCAGATGTCTCCAGATATATGATATACTTAGAACTAATATGAAAGCTTTAGAAATAGTTCCTAGCTTGAAATGTTGATCTGCATTCAAGGCTTGGTGGATGTTAGACTTTCTATCCAGTGTTAGGTGGGAGTTGGCCGTCTTGCCACCTTTAAAAGGTAATGTTCATTAGAGTTAAAACTGTTCCCCTGGAAAAGTAGATTGCACCCTTAAACATGAGATGCCAAGGTATCTCTCCCTGACTCTGTTTTAAGTAGAAATGTTTAAGCACTAGGGCTGAGGGTTCATCCAAGTCAGTGATGGTAATCTAAGGCAGCTGGTAGTTAGTAAAAGGAAGCCAGAAAGGCCAATAACAGTGAGAAATAGTGTGTATATGGAGATGGTTTTTCAAGAATAAAATCTCCCTCTTTTCTTTTCCCTCCCTGTAATGTACCCAGCTGATGCTGAGGGTAGTGAGGATGAGAAGTGGGACTGGGCAGCACAGGGGGTTTCTGCTTCTGATCTATACTCTTGACTGGACTTGATCTCCTCCCCATTAAAGATTCCCAATGCAACTGGTGTAGAGATCACAAGATAAGTGTCAGACCTAGAATTTGCAGGCAAAGCACATAGAAATCTTCAGCAGCAATTCTAGAAACAATAGAAAAATAGTTAAGACTAAAAAAAAAAAAAAAGTACTTAGTCTACACTAGTTTCAATACTAAGTGACTAAGAGGTTCAGGAAGAAGGACATGATTGCCATGATCCCAACTTTTACTAAGGAGTAAACATGGAATTTATTTATTGTAACCAAATTGTCATGATCCATGGCATTTTATAAATTCAAACATTACTATCTAAATACAGAAACGAAATAGGATATTTCAGTATTCCTTATTTTCTGAATTGGGAGCAAAATTAAGAGCTCAAGGGATACTTGTGTTGTTTTTCATAGTTTCTTTCTGTTTTTGCAATCTAGTAGGAAAACATGAATTGAACACATCTCTTGAACTTTTAATGTTGACATTCAGGATAGGAGTGAAATGAGAAATTACTAGATAGTCCTTAGGTTTAACAGTGTGGTCTGTAAGGATCCAAATGGGATCTTAAAATATTTTATCTCTAAACTCATGTAAATGCTCATCTATTCAGTTAATGAGATCATGAAAATAACATGTGAAGGAAACAATTTTCTATGGAAATAACTTGTGAAAATGCAATATGTATAAAACTTGTATATGTATATGGTTTTCCTTTTTTTCCATCCATACTGAAGATTGACATCAAGGCCTTGTGCTCAGTAGGTATGCATTCTTCCACTGGAGCTACATCTCCAGGCTATTTTTGTTTTTATTTTTGTTGTCATTGTTAAGGTATGGCCTTGTTTTATGCCTGGGCTGGCCTGGGCTGCTGTTCTTTTGCTTCTACTGTTCTTGTTCTACTTTTCTGAGTTGCTGAGGGTGAGAGGTTTGCACTACTGTGCCCAGCCATTGTGCTTCCTCTGTACTAGAATAACAGGTATGCACCACTGCACCCCACCATTGGTTGAGAGAAGCCTCTTGAATATCTTTTTAGCTGTGATGTCCCAGTCTTTGTCCCACAAGTAGTAGAATTAATGTTTGATGATCACAACCAGCACTAAATTTTAAAATTTAGTGCTCTCCAAATCTCTGACCCTGAGATGTGATGAGCATATTCTTTACATGAAAACAATAACATTTTCTTACGTAATTCTGTGATGTAAAGTAGGGAATAGTTTCTGTAAATAATGTTATGTCTCATGGAGATCAAAACTAGTCTGACCCTTTTTGTTTCTTCAGGAGTTAACATCTCTTGGAAAACCAAAAAAAACTCGTTCAGCATACAACATTTTTATAGCTGAAAAATTTCCAGAAACCACAGAGTCATCATCTAAGGTAAACAGCTACATTTGTTTCTTAGATATTTGTTTAATTTGAAAATTACTTAGGGTATTCTAGGCTTACAGGTATGAGCCACTGGCGCCCAGCATACATGTCTTTTAAACATTATTTCAATTCATCTTACCTTTTACTTCCATGTTACACCTCTCTGATGTTGCCACTGCTTATATTGTTTGGTATTCTGCGTTGTGAATCAAATTGCTTTTAAGTTTTCCCATTGTCCTTAGCAGTTAGCTCTATCAGCTCATTCAGTGACTACTCCACCTGCTTTTCTCTTCTAGTTTCGTTTTGGTAGTGTTCTCTCTCTCTCTCTCTCTCTCTCTCTCTCTCTCGCTTTTTTTTTTTTTTGGTCAGTTGTGGGGCTTGAACTCTGGGCCTAGGTGCTGTCCCTGAGCTCTTCAGCTCAGCGCGAGTACTCTACAACTTGAGCCACAGCGCCATTTCTGGTTTTCTGGTAGTTAATTGGAGATGAATGTCCCATGGACTTTGCTGCCTGGGCTGCCTTAGAACTGCAGTCCTCATATATCAGCCTCCTGAATAGCTAGGATTACAGGCATGAGCCACTGGCACCTGGTGTTTTTTCTTAAATCTGTCCACACATTTATGCCTTAATTTTTTTGTTTAATGCAGCTTCAAGAGGAAACAAGTATACATCCTTTTATCCTATTAAATTATAGATGAAGAATCAAGTCTATGGAAAATGAAATTTGTATTTTTTCCTATGCCTATACCTAAAAACTTAGGGTACACATTTTAGAATGAAACAAAATGATATGAATGAACAATTTTTCAAATTAGTATATGAGAAAAATAAAGACGTACCCAGATCTTAATATTTCCGAATCAAAGAGATAAATATTGGCTATTAATTCATTTTTGTAAATTTTAACAGCATAATAGTATTTGTTTAGAAATAGAGGTTTATGCCGCTTTGCCTGTTATTTATTGATATTTAAGGTTGTTTTCTTTTTCTTTTTTTGCCCATCATGGGGCTTGAACTCAGGACCAGGGTGCTGTCCCTGAGCCAGCTTAAGGCTAGCACTGTACCACTTGAGCCACAGCTCCACTTCTGGATTTCTAGTAGTCAATTGGTGATAAGAGACTCATGGCCTTTCCTGGCTTCAAACTGTGATCCTCAGATCTCAGACAACTGAGTAGTTACAGTTACAGCATCAGTGCCTGGCTTATTTGAATTTTTGTTGTTGAAATAAATAAAAAATTTCTGGGCTGGAAATATGACTTACTAGTAGAGTACTTGCCTAGGGTACAAGCACTGAGTTTGAGTCTTCAGAACTACATAAACTAAAAAAAATTAAAATTTTAAAAATATATTAGCTATGTGGATCACCAAAGTCTGTGTATGCGCTATTTAAACATATATTACTTTGCAGGAAAAATTGAAGACTTTAAATGAAAAATGGAAAAATATGCCTGCTTTTCAAAAGCAGGTAAGTATTGAGCTTTTTAGTCCCAAGTGTTGTTAATGAGTATTTGTGCAATAATAGATTAGGACAAGGTTTGATTTAAGGGTCATAAGCCTAATTGTACTAAAAAAATTTCATTTTAAAATTATTTTCATAGTATGAAACTAGTTTGGCCTTTCTTGGTAAACAGTTTGCCATTGAAAATGCCACTCTTGGCGTGCCTACTTCATCAGATGCTCATCCAACCCTGCCTTTACCACCCTTGCACCCCTCAAGCCCTGACACTTTTTTTTTTCCACTGTAAGACCTTTTATTTAAAAAAAAACTTGTTATTGTAAAGGTGATGTACAGAGGGGTTCAGTTATATAAATCAGATAATATATACAGTTCTTTTTTAATATACTTTATTGTAAAGATACTGTACAGAGGGGTTACAGTTATACAAGGAAGATAATGAGTACATTTCCTATCGAGCATTGTTACTCCCTCTTTTGTTTTTTCCCCTACCATCCCTTCCCTCCCCACCCCAAAGTTGTAAAGTTCATTTTCAACATAGTGTCTTGTATATCTCCTTGTTACGATGAGTCAACCTGTATCCTTATTTCAGTATTTTGTTATTCCCCTTCCCCTCCCCAAATTAGAAAAATGTATATACAAGATGCAGGGCACCGGAAAACAGGGGTGTGTATACCATGGGGGAAGAACATACAAAAGAAACAAAAAAAATCACATAGCACATTACAAATACATTAAAAACAACAGCAAGAAAGATAAAACCTCTTATGTGTCCCTGTCTTGGGGTTTATTTAGCATCATCTTGTATGGTCATATGTACATAGCTTTTGAACTTTTCTGCTTGTCCTAGACATGTACTAATTGTTGCAAATAATGGAAACCATAGGACCTATGTTTCTTTGGGTCTAGCTTCACTTAATATAATTTTTTCCAAGTCTTTCCATTTCCTAACAAGTGGGGCAGTGTCATTCTTTCTTATGGAGGCATAGAATTCCATTGTGTGTGTATGTGTGTGTGTGTGTGTGTGTGTATGTGTGTGTACCACATTTTCTTGATCCATTCATCTACTGAGGGGCATCTGGGTTGGTTCCCTATCTTAGCTATGGTGAATAAGACTACAATAAACATAGTTGTGCTGGTAGCTTTAGTATGGCCTTGTTTGTGATCATTTGGGTAAATGCCCAAAAGTGCGATTGTTGAGTCCTAGGGGAACTCTATGTGGAATCTTTTGAGGAACCTCCATACTGCTTTCCAAAGTGGTTGTACAAGTTTACCCTCCCATCAACAATGCAGTAGGGTTCCCTTCTGGCCACATCCCCTCCAGCATCTGTTGTTATTAGATTTCTTTTTTTTTTTTTTTTTTGTCGGTTGTGGGGCTTGAACTCTGGGCCTGGGCGCTGTCCCTCAGCTCTTCAGCTCAAGGTGAGCGCTCTACCACTTGAGCTACAGCGCCACTTCCGGTTTTCTAGTGGTTTATTGGAGATAGGAGTCTCACGGTCTTTCCTGCCCGGGCTGGCTTTGAACCCCAATTCTCAGATCTCAGCCTCCTGAGTAGCTAGGATTACAGGCGTGAGCCACCGCCACCCTGCTAGATTTCTTGATTATAGCCATTCTAATACTGGGGTGAGATGGAATCTCAATGTTTTTTTGATTTGCATTTCTTTTATGGCCAGAGAAATTGAGCATTTCTTCATGTGTCTTTTGGCCATTCTTATTTCCTCTTCAGTGAAGCCTTTCTTTAAGTCTCTAGCCTACTTATTAATGGGGCAGTTGTTTCTTTGAGGATTTGTTGTTGAGAGATTTGGGGGCGGGGGGGCGGTCTGTCATGGGGCTTGAACTCTGGGCCTGTGCACTATCACTCAGCTTTTCAGCTCAAGGTGAGTGCCTTACCACTTGAGCCACAGTGCCATTTCTGGTTTTCTGAGCAGTTTATTGGAGATAAGAGTCTCACAGAGTTTCCTGCCTGGGCAGGCCCTCAGATCTCAGCTTCCTGAGTAGCTAGGATTAATTTTTTGGATTCTAAGTATTCTTGTCTGTTGTATGGCTTAGTGATAATCTTCTCCCAGTCCATGGGCTTTCTATTGATCTTGCTAGCTATGTCCTTTGCCATGTAGAAGCTCTGCAGTTTCATGCAATCCCATTTGTCCAACCTTGATTTGATTTGTTGTGTTTCTGGGTCTTTATTAAGGAAATTTTGGCCTATGCCAAGGAGCCCTAGAGTTTCTCCTATTCCTTCCTGTGATGTTTTCAGGGTGTCTGCTTTGACTTTGAGGTCTTTGATCCATTTGGAGTTGATTCTGGTGCAGGGTGATATATAAAGGATCTAGCTTTACTTTTCTACAGGTCTTTAACCAACTTTGCCAGCACCATTTACTGAAGAAAGCCCTGAAAGTTTAACAACTTCACTAATACTTAATCTTTTTCTCATTTTACTTTGATCTTAACTTTTTTTTTTTCATTCCCCATTACATATGCACTTAGAGTAGTGATGCAGTTTTATTCAGAGTAATCCTGTCATATTTGTGGATTTACTGTTTATGATTTAGCTAAGTGTAGTTAAATAAAAAATATTTGCAATAGCTAGTATATATCTGAGACAAGCAGAAAAGGTCAGATAAGATAAGTGAAATGAACCCCAAGATAAGGGCACAAGTGGTTTTTTTCTTTCTTGCTATTGTTTCTAACCTATTTATAAGGTACCATATGATTTTTTTGTTGCTTTGTATGTGCCTCCCTCATGGTATAACCCCTGTTTTCACTGTATTTGATGTTGATATAATTTGTGGAGTGGAAGGGAAAAAACAAATTGTTTAAATAGGGTTACAGGTGGACCCATTGCAACCATAAGATGTACAAGATGCTATGTCGAAAAACGAACTTTACAAGGTGAGGGGGCGTGGGGGAGGGATTAGTTGTGGAGAATGGGAGGGAAGGGCTGGTATGGGTAAAACAAAGGAAGAGGCAATAATGCTTGATAAGAAATGTATTCATTATCTTGCTCACGTGATTGTAACCCCTCAGTACAGTATTGTCACAATAAAAACTTATTAAAAAATTATGTAAAAAAAATCAAGTCATTTCAAAACCCCAAAATTCTATGCACCCATGATGCCACTCAGTTATGTGGTAGATAAGCTTTCAGTCCTGTTATCTTCAGTTCTGTTTATATTGTGTGATCTGCTGAGTGTTTCCTGCTCTTCACTCTAGCAGATGTCTCCCATAAAGCAAGGTAAAAGCTATGGTGTTCCTCTGAAGCCTGAGGGGCACTTAATGTCCTTAAGTGATTAAAAAGTAAAAAAATTTAGATTTACAAAGGTGGCGCATCCTTAGAGAAACGTGGTGGCTGTTAATTTTTTCCAAAATGGTTGTATTGGGAGGGTTATGATTTAACATGTCCATTTATGTATAGAGTGCATTCTGATCAGAGTCAACTGTGTCATCATTTTCCCTCCTCCATCTTCCCCTATCCTACCAGTCATATCAAGTTTCCCCATGACTATTCCAACTGTATTTGTCCACTGCTCCCTTTTTCATTCATCCACCCCTCTTACACCAGACCCCCTTCCTTCAAAACATGTTTCAGATTCATCATATTCACTTTGCTGAGCTGTTAATTGTGCAAAGCATTTACACCATAGTGTTTTACTCCTGCATATGCTATACTTATTTCACCTTGATTGTTTATAATGCATTTGTCCCGATATGTGTTTACATGGGAGGTGGTGTTTTTGGATCATATCCTTTGTTCTCTTTTCTTTTCTTTTGGTTTGAGACGGGGCTCAAACTCAGTATCTGATGCTTTTACTCATTGACTAGAGATCTTGGCACTCTAGCAACTGAGGCCACACCTCTAAGCCCTAAAGGGTTGGTTATTTCTTTTCTTTTTTTTTGTTTTTGTGGAAGGGGTCATATTCTTTAGAGAAAGTTGAGGGGCATTATGGGGAAAATTAACATGCATTCTCAGTATTCTACTGAACTCTGTGCATTCCGAGTGTTCATTGTTTTTCTGTAAACTGGTCTACTTGGAACCATATACCCGTGAGTACCAAAGGTCTGCTGTATATAAAAGCACTCCACAAATTAATTGCTCTTTTCTGAACATTAATTTAACAATTACATTGTTTCTTAGGTTTATTATCAACTATCTAAAGATGATAAAATTCGTTACGAGAATGAAATGAAATCTTGGGAAGAACGGATGATAGAAGTTGGGAGAAGTGATCTTATACGTCAAACCAAGAAACTACAACCCAAAGCTACTACTGAGAAACTAAACCTCAAAGAAGATTGAGTTGTGTTCATGATGGTTGGGCACAAGAAACCAATTAGGTCTCAATACCTGACATTGTAACATCAGAATAGATAAAGTTGGTAAACATTTTATATTCAATTCCTTTTTCTTTAGCCCATGGACTTCTGCCAGTTGAACATATTTTGTATTAGTATTTGTAAAACAGATGAAGGTCATGAAAATTTTTGTGTTCATAAGAACCACAGAGGGTCAAAATCTTTCATGCAAATTTAGCAGGGAATCATTTTACCTTTGATAAAGGTAAATCAGACTGTGAAGTTTTTTTTTTATACTGGATGCTGATGGATATTCTTGCCTCCCAATGGAGGCAGGGACTTGTTTTCAAACTTTTCAATACTGTGGAAGCCACAGTGTTCTCTTGATATAATTGTGCCGTTAAAAAAATGCAGCCAGAACTCATATCTGGGTAAACTCTAATTCCTAGATGTAATTAGTACATATTCAGAGTTGATAGCTGTACATGCAAGTACTGGTTAGTTTCAGTAACAATCTTTTATAAAAGGGACTGAGAGATTTATAAACCATTTTCTCATTGTCTTTTCCTTTTACCAAAGGGAAAACGAATTATGTACTAAATCTATGCATATTTTATATAGCATAGAATAAAAATTCTAATATTTCATTTTTCATGTTTCTGAATTAATCTATTTAAGAATGAAGTATTTGTTTAATGTCCTATTTTATAGTAGAGAATTTTATTTTTTTCTGAATTATTTCTTCTTTCATGTAATATAGTCACAGAATAATGTGTGGTAGAGATTTTTAATTGAGGAGCCTAAAAAACAGAAATCTCCAAAGTCAAAAATTTGAAGCATTGGGCTGGGAAGGTGGCTCAGTGGTATAGTGCTTGCCTTGCATGCATGAGGCCCTGGGTTTGATTCCTCAGCACCACATAAACAGAAAAAGCGGGAAGTGGTGCTGTGGCTCAAGTGGTAGAGCGTTAGCCTTGAGCTGAAGAACTGAGGGACAGCGCCCAGGCCCAGAGTTCAGGCCCTATGACCGGCAAAAAAAAAAATTGAAGCATTATGCATAACATGTAAAGCTTTATATAAAAGACAGCCAACTATTGTATATGGGCTCAGCCTACTGCCTATTTTTTGTACCCTGTGTGTTAGAGTTTTATAGGAACACAGCTGAACCACAGCCATGCTAATTCTACTTACTGTATATGGCTTCCATTATGCTACAATGAGATTTGAGGGGCTGCTACAGGATCTGTCCTGGAAAGCCTAGAGCGTGTTCTATCTGGTGCTTATCAGATTACCAAACAAGGTTTATAGCATAGTGCAGTGTAACTGCTGTTCCCAGGTGTGGAAGTGTTGGCAAAGTTTTTTCAAATGCTTCAGATATTCTCAGAATAGTAGTCACTTTGTTTTAAGACAATAGTCATCACTGTATAGAGGTAAGCAAACTTGCTCCTCAAAGTTAGCAAGGAAAAGAATAATCTTTAGTCTTCAATTATATAGTGATAAATGAAAAAAGTTCATATTTTGTGGCATGAGATTTTCTTAGATTTGTTTGCTATGGGCTCAGCAAAGTGGACTAGCTAGCCCACATAACAGCTAGTGCATATCCCAGAAACATCACTGTAGTGGGAAGCTGTCATTCTTTTTAAGACTTGTTTATTCTCCAAGGAGAGTCAAGCACAACTATTCATAGTCCGCACCATCTTTTATTAAGTGGAGTAGTTCATCTTTCATCATGAATTCAAAGGACCTGTAACTCATGAGTTCATAGGTACTTTCTGTTATTGTTCAGAATACTTTTAAATTGAAGATTTAAATGAGAAATGTGTACAACATCACAAGAAGAAAGTGGTTATATACTGAACCTGACAAAGATAGGGCAGAGAGGGAGGGAGGGTGGGATAGATGGATGGATAGATGGCTATTCAGGGCTGGGCTGTAAGTTCAGAGGTTAGCACTTGCCTGGCAAAGCTAGCAAGGCCCCAGGTGTGACTCCCAGCACCAGCCAATCAATCAATGTGTTTTCAAATTTCAAATTATCTTTCTCCATGGATTTTAGTATATTTAAACTAGATAGATGCCATGTAGTTTGGAGGTAGTGGGAATGAAGATTAAGTGCAATTTTTATCAAGTAGGTTTTCAGGTGAGAATTAAGCTCTACTTATATACTATCTTTAGTAGTGTAAAAAATGATAACTCACAACTCTATTCTGTGCTTCAGAGGCATACAAGGGGCACGTAAAATTCACTATAATTAATATAATGGGATGAGAGAGAGAAATGTGATAGGTGAACATCTATAGGACAAATGTAGCATAAAAGACTGACAGTTAGCCTGCAAAAGCCTTTCTTCTGAGACTTTTACCATTTAACCATGAGTACGATTGAGTATTTGATTGAAATTACACTTCAAGTAATATTGTGAAAGTCTGTTTAGTAAGTTCCAACTTAATATAGGAAGAAATGGTATAAAACCTAAGATCTGGGTATCTTGGTTTCTTTCTAAAAGAAAGTCATTGGTAATACTTTAAATTCTAGGATGATCTGACATGCAAACTGTGAAATAAATTTCATTTCCATATTTGTGGAAGACTCATGTTATATACCAAAACCATAGTTATAACAGTTTACCCAATGTTTTCTGTTACAAAGAGTAAACAACAATAACCATTGACCCCCACTTATAAAGTCTTATTAGACTTTTAATTAGCAGCAAAGCAGTAGTTTAGGAGCTAAGGATAAGTGTTAGAGGGAAAATGTTGAAGCAATGAATAGAAGCATGTGTATGTTATTACAAGCAGTTACATAGAGATGGTAATTCTGTTACAGTGGTGGTGTCAGGTTTTTGGAACAATTTGGTGGAGGGAGAGGGTTGTGTGTCTATTTTACTTTCTGATGCATACTTTAATGGATACAGTGTACAAATTCAGCTTATTGTAATTTTGCTGTTAACTTTTTTTGGAAATGCTATTTTTTAAACATCATTATTGTTTCTAGTTGCCATGAAATCTATATTTTAGATTTCTGAATTTAAAAGTTGGTAATTAGATTTGAGGTAATTAGAATATTTTTCTCACATTTTCTACATCTTAAATTTATCTTCAGCAGGTTGTACTAAAAGCGCAGTTTTTAATACAGTAAAGTGATACTGTCCATTATTGCTCTTAGTTTCATCAATGTTTGCTCCAAGAATTTTCCTTTCATTGCCTGACGACAATTCTCCCTCTGTTTGTAGCACTGAGGACCAAACACAAATTTGAAAATGTTCTGAGTTCAGATTGTATTGTATGCTTTGAAGTTTTAAAGTGTGATATTCTTTTTATTGAATTTCTGGAAAGAATAATATATTTGTAACTTTAAACATTTTGAACTTTCCAGCTAGGCACCAGTGGCTCATGCCTACAGTCCTAGCCACTCAGGAAGCTGAGATCTGAGAATCAGGGTTCAAAGCCAGCCCGGCAGGAAAGTCCGTGAGACTATCTCCAGTTAACCATCAGAAAACTGGAAGTAGCGTTTTGGCTCAAGTGGTAGAATGCTAGATAGCCTTGATCTGAAGAGCTCAGGGATGGCGCTCAAGCCCAGAGTTCAAGCCCACAACCAACACACACACACAAACACACACATACACACACAAAATTTAACCTTTCCAAACTAAAACAACACAAAGCTAGTATCACCAATATCTCACATTGTTCACAATAAAATTAACTTTTGGTACTGCACTGATTATATTTAATGTAAGACATAAAAAAACCCCACATTTTGTGTAGTTCAAAATATACACTTCCAAAGGAGCTAAATATTTTAATTAATCCTAAACAAGAATTCTGAATAAGCATTTAAATAACATTTAAATCAGCCTCATAATAGTTTCTGATTTACTTATGTCAAAGAAAATCGAAAGTATATAGTAAAAAGGAGATAAGCTAAATTCTGAGTATAAAATTTTAGAAGTGAATTTTGGAAACTGGGAGCTCTGTGCTCCTCTAATCCAAAATATGAAATTTGAACATTGATGTGATGCTACTTATAAATGGAAAATCCCACAGCCTTGCTGAGATAAAAATATATAAACAGGCCAATTAAAAACATTGTGTGGTCTGGGAAGGTGGCTCAGTGGTAGAGTGCTTGCCTCCTGGGTTCAATTCCTCAGCACCACATAAACAGAAAAAGCCGCAAGTGGCACTGTGGTTCAAGTGGTAGGGTGCTAGCCCTGAGCTGAAGAGTTCAGGCTCCATGACTGGAAAAAACAAACATTGTGTAAGATTATTCTTTGGTGTTGGTGAAAATCTTTTAGACAAAGTTGGTTCCGCTTTAAGATAATCTCATGTACATTCAAATCTATTCATATATATTAAAATATGGAAACATTTGGAGAGGGAAGCAGAGCTGGGAAGTGTAGCTCACACTTTGGCGAACATATGGAAGAGATCAATCATCTCCAGTGATCTGCTGATGAAACAGGCCTTTCCTCCTTTGGAAATTTTATTAAAGAGGCTTAAGACATAAAACCTGAATTGTCAGTAAAAGCAGTGGTTAGGTTGGAGTATCCAAAATCAGGTGTCTAAATGTCAGCAGGTGCAAAACTAGAGGGAAATGGATCAGATCTCAGAAGCAGGAGAGCAGAACGAAGTTCATTATTCCCTGATCCTAAACTTAAGAATCACCAGAAAAATGTAAAATGGGAGTTCCTGGGTCTCACTTCCAGTAGGTTAACAAGAAGCTCAGGTGATTCTGGTGCCATTGGAATACTGATTATGATTTGAAGAACACTGATGCAACTACCAAAACGGTCCATTTAACGAAGAATCACAGGCTACAAGAAGATCCTCTGTTTAGGACAAATGTCCTTTTGAACAGTGATGAGGATTCAACTCAAGAACTCCTAACATGCTAAGCATGACAGACCTTAAGAGTGTTAATATAGACTTGGGTGATATTACCAAGCAAAACCTTACTGTATACGTATTAGGTATGTCCTGACTAACACTCCTCTTTAGCCTGGTGGTGGTGTAGCATTTGGCATTATTCTGAGAAAAGCTTTTCTGTTGGGGAGGATAGTTCATCCCTGGGACCAGCCCTCGTTGGCTTCACTTGGATTAGCCTTTCTCCATATCTACACAGCTGCCCATTGCTATCTGTTTGGGGGATTTTCAATAATTAGGGTACATTTTGCCTTGGTGGTCCATTGGAAGTGGGAGATTTAAAATTCAAAACTTATGAAAAGGATGATAAATTCTGATATGGGAACTGTACACAAATGTTACATGATTTTGTACAGTTTAAAATTTTTAAGCTGACACATTTCTCTTCCCCTCAACCCCCCTCACCAAAAAAACAACAAAAAAACAAAACAAAGTACCAACTGAATCTTTACGCAACATATTCAAACCTGAAATGGTTTAAAACTTTTACAGGCTCATGCCTGTAATGGTAGCAACTCAGAAGGCTGAGATCTGAGGATTATGGCTTAAAGACAGCCAATTCTCAAAAGTTATTTCCAATGATATATATATATACACACATATCCATATATATTATACACAATGTATATACATACATATATGTGGAGCTGTGGCTCAAGTTGTATAGTCTTGAATTAAAAAAGGCTGGAACAGTGTCCAGGCCCAGTGTTCAAGCCTGGCACACACACACA